TGGCTATGGAGTTGGTGTTGAGGGACCAGGTGAGGTTCTCTGTGATGTGGACGCCGAGGAACTTGGTGCTCCAGACGATTTCCACAGCAGAGCCAGTGATGTTCAGTGGGTGGTGGTCACCTTGCACTCTTTGGAAGTCAACAACCATCTTCTTAGTTTTGTCAACATTCAGAGACAGGTTGCACCTCCTCTCTGTACACTGACTCATCATTCTTGCTGATCAGACCCATCACAGTCGTGTCATCAGCGAACTTGATGTGGTTTGAGCTGTGCTTTGCAGTACACAGCAGCAGACTGAGCACACAGCCCTGAGGGGCGCCGGTGCTCAGTATGGTGATGCTGGTGATGTTATTACCTATCCTGACTAACTGAGGTCTCTTAGTCAGGAAATCCAGGACCCAGTTACAGAGGGAGGTGTTCAGGCCCAGCAGGCTCAGTTTTCCAATCAGCTGCTGAGGGTGATGGTGTTGCTGAGCTGAAGTCTATGAACAGCATTCTGACATAGGTGTCTCTATTGTCCAGATGGGTGAGAGCTGGGTGGAGTGTGGTGGAGATGGCATCATCTGTTGAGTGGTTGGGCCGATATGCAAATTGCAGTGGGTCCAGTGAAGGAGGGAGCTGGTCTTTAATGTGCCTCATGACAAGCCTCTCGAAGCACTTCATGATGATGGGAGTGAGTGCAATGGGACGGTAGTCATTGACACTGGAGACTTCTTTGGCGCAGGGATAATGGTGGTGGACGTGAAGCACGTTGGAACGACTGCAGTGCTCAGAGAGATGTTGAATATGTCCGTGAGAACATCAGCCAGCTGTTCAGCGCATTCTCTGAGCGCTCTGCCCGGTATGCTGTCAGATCCTGGGGCTTTTCGTGGTTTGACTCTGTAGAGTTCTCCACACATCAGCTGTAGACAGACACAGTACCTGTTCACTTGGAGGAGGTGTGGTTTTCCTCGCCGTCGTGCCGTTCTGTGCTTCAAACCAAGCATAGAAGTTATTAAGCACATCTGGAAGGGAGGCATCACCATCACAAGCAGGTGGAGGTGACTTGTAATTGGTGATGGCCTGGATGCCCTGCCACATGCACTGTGTGTCAGCAGTATTTTGAAAACGATTGTGGATTTTCTTTGAGTAGGTACGCTTTGCCTCTCTGATGGCCCAGGAAAGCTTGTCTCGTGCTGTTCTGAGGCCTGCCTCATCCCTTGACTTGAAAGCCTTGTCACGGGTTCTCAGCAGCGTGCGCACCTCTGCAGTCATCCATGGTTTCTGGTTGGGGTGAGTTGTGATGAGTTTGGAGACAGTAACATCATCAATGCACTTGCTGATGTAGCCAGTCACTGATTCTGTATACTCCTCCAGGTTGATGGAGTCACTGGAGGTTCCTGCTTCTCTGAACATCTCCCAGTCAGTGTGCTCAAAACAGTCCTGAAGAGCAGAGATAGCTCCTGGTGGCCAGGTTCTCACTTGCTTCTGGTCCGTTTTGGCACATCTGATGAACGGTCTGTATGTTGGAGGGAGCATCACAGAGATGTGGTCCGAGTGGCCGTAGTGGGGGCGGGGCTCAGTCCTGTACGCGCTGGGGATGTTTGTGTAAACAAGATCCAGCATGTTGGCCCCCTGGGTTAAAAGTCCATATACTGGTGAAATTTAGGGAGCACTGACTTCAGATTAGCATGGTTAATCTGCAGCGACAGTAAACAGTCCATCTGGGTGTGTGTTTTGGAGATCGCTGATAGCACTGTACAGCTCGTTCAGTGTGGTGTTAGCATTAGCACTGTGAGGTCTATACACCGCTACTATGTACTCTGTAGTCAGCTCTCTTGGCAAATAAAAAGAACCGGCTCTGACAATCGCAAACTCCACCAGTGGTGAGCCGTGACTGGAGACTAGCGCCGCGTTTCTACACCATTCAGTGTTGATGTAAACACACAGTCCCCCACCTCGAGTCTTACTGCACAGCTTAGCGTCTCTGCATGGAAGCACAACAGGTCGTCAAGCTGAATGGCTAAGTCTGGAGTGGAGCTCGTCATCCACGTCTCCGTAAAAACGAAGACACAGCAGTCTCTGAACTCACGCTGTGTAGCCCTCTGGATCTGGAGGTAGTCCAGTTTATTCTCCAAGGAACAAAGGTTTGAAAGAAGAAGCGATGGTCTGCACTCCTGCACGCCAGCTCAGGTCTTCACTTCTGGACTCTCATGATCTTCCCTGAGATCTGATCATTCTCATAAGGTAAGATCTTACAGCTTTAGTGTTCTTTAGCGCCCCCAGTGGTGGAACTCTACACTGCACAGTGCTCTTCAGGTAAAACGTTGAATAACATCTCTCTGCTCTCATTCACTCTCCACTTCTTAATCCTGCTCACTTCTTATGGTGCACTTAATATTTGAGTTATTACTTATTAAAATCCAGTTCATTTATTTACACCTGGTTATATTTAACTAGAATATAGTGTTTAAGGCTTCTTGTCTTTTAGGGTAAAGAACCCTGTGGAGGTTCTCAGCACTTTGTCTCAGTTTGGCTTCCACTGTTTACACATTTTGTAAGTGACTGGATAAATTAATCTGCCTAAATCAATAAACATAAATGTAAATGTTTTCAAGTGAATGTTAAAGCTACAGTTTCAAGACTCTTAATGGCTTTACAGAAAGGGGCGTTAACATTATTAGACAAGCTACGATTTAGATACACTGTACGAAAACCGTCCGACTGACCGGCTACGGGTAACGCAGCCTCTACGGTGGCTCTGTCTACAAACCGTTATCAATAAAGCTGATTCACTCAGAATAATGCACTGTGCACTGAGTGCTGGGTGAACAGAGGGTCCAGCTGCAGAGCTGCAGTACCGCACTCTTAGCCCCGCCCTCTCAGCCCCGCCCTCTAATCTCCAGGTATGATGTGACACAGTGGTCGAGAGGCTCGGTAGTTATTGTATATTGCGTTTATTACTTGGAGGCACAGAACGCAGCTTTTATAAACCTTTGAACACCATCACTGCACACATGGTTACGTTGTGGCTCATTGTGACGACCTATTGTCGGTGCCCACAGTGTTGAAATGCAGCTCCTCAGAAAGTTGTGACGTTATCTGAGATCATTCTTGGAAGTTGTGACAGTGTAGTGGCAGCGTTGTCAGTACGTTGTTATGAACTCCTAGAATCCTTCATAAGTTCCATTATGTTGTGCATCGAACTGAAATGGAATTTTGCCAAGTTGCCAACAGGCAGTCATAACAGCGCAGGGCAACGTTACTTAACAATGAGGTTGAGACGACCTTGTTCAATCAACATAAACAGCACCACCTTTTCACTGCTTATGAACTTTAGCTTGACTTTTGAAATAATAATGACGTCTTCAGTTTCTGCTAAATGGTCTCTGCAGCCGCTCTGTGTGTGTGAAGGGTCGGTCATGTGACTGAGAGTGTGAAGTAGGGTAAATGGAGTGGTTCTAAATGCTGATGGTGTAAGATGAGCTCATCTCTCTCCTCCTGGTCTTCTGAGTTTCTGTTCCATTAAAGGTTCTGCATCACTCATATATTCATATTCTCACATACAGGAGTGGAAATGGTTTCACTGAGGGAACACATCCTGAAATGTCTGTTTCTGCCGCATTTTACACATAAATATGCCTTAAAATGATGATTGCATTCATGGATTTTATAGCAAACTAATAAATGTTTTGATTTCCTGCATTAAAAATAATAGGAAACTTCAAGATCTGAAAATTTGTGTATTTTTTCTTAGATACTTAACTTTACCAACATCAGGAGTCTCTGAGCTTTTTGTTAAAAGAACAAAACCCCTCAAATTCTTTAATGAAAATTAAACTCGATCCAATCCAGACATTTTATTACAGACGGTATAATTATTGATGCTCAGGGGATCCAGAAACTAAGTGAGAGAAACTTGTAGTGACAGCTAACACTGAACAGAAACTAACTCATGACTGAGCTACACTGTATGTTCAAAAGTATGTGGACACCTGACCATCACACCTATATGAGCTTGTTGGACGTCCCATTCCAAAACCATGTTCATTAATATGGAGTCCCCCCCCTTTACAGCTCTAACAGCTTCCACTCTTCTGGGAAGCTTCTACAAGATGTTGGAGAGTCTGTGGGAATTTGTGTCCATTCATCCAGAAGATCATCTGTGAGGTCAGACACTGATGTTGGACGAGAGGGTCTGGCCCTCAATCTCCTTTCCAGTTCATCCCAAAGGTGTTCAGAGGTCAGGGCTCTGTTAGGGCCACTGGAGTTCCTCCACACCATTTATACCCATCCAGAAGACGCTTGGCACGGCACATAGTGATCATAGGCTTGTGTGCAGCTGCTCAGCCACGGAAACCCGACTTTTACCACCAGAACGGGGTTCCAGTGCATTCAAGGCCCGTTTGACCCCCTCATATACAGTCATATGCAAAAGTGTCTGAGCCTCTGGTCAAATTACTGTTTTGTTTTTTTTCTTCTACAACAATAATAATAAAAACATTAATCTAGTACTTTTCATGCCAGTGGCAGCTCACAGTGCTTTCCAGGTGATGAAGATTAAGTTATAGAAGAAACTATGGGTATTAATTTAAAATTATATGAAACAATGACTGATCACAGTCAGATAAGATAAATACCAAAGAGACAAAGAATTTTGATTAAAGTTAATATACATTAATACGTCCTCTACAGAGACACACTTCTGCACATTGTTGTGCACAATTACTAAAATTACCTGTTGATTTCTATAAATAAATATAATTTGTGCACTAACATCAACAAAGACGCCATATTTGAGGTTGTTCTCTGTAGAGGTTGTTAGACTGTGATGTTCAGACTTTTGTATTAGACTGCAGTGTTTCCCACACAGAGACTATACTTACTCACCAAGAGTCACTGCCTCATTACCCACAAACACCCCACCCCCACCAACACCCCTAACACTCCCACCCCCCCACCCCCACCCCTGACTGTGGTCTGCGTCTCAGCACTAAAGTATATTTTAACCCTGTGAGAAACTCTGGACTGTATTAGTGTTGAACTCAAAGCACAGCGAGAGCGTCTTCAGTGTCTTTGCTGACTTTCTCTCTGCTGAGATCAGAACAGTTCATAAGTGTAGGAGAGTCAGAGTGAGGAGCTTCTGGACCTTCTGGACCTTCAGGTATCCGCTGTGTTTGAAGAGTGATGCTGCCATGTTTTCCCAGAGCTCAGCAAATATTACAGCAGCACTGATCCTCATTTTACTGGCAGGTAAACTTTACATTTATTTACATTTCTGCTCTTAATGTGTTTGTGTTCCACAGCGCTGATCTACATCTGTGTCAGATTAACGTGTAGAGACTAAAAATCCTTCAACATATAACAGTTACAGTGTGTTTCAGAACATTTTAATACATTTGACACGATTCAGTCACAGGAAGTGGCTTTAGAACGAACAGCAGAGCTGCAGTAACTACAGATTAATAACTGATACCATTTTATAATCTCTTAAACTCACAGAACATTCAGACTAACTGCAGCTTTAAGCTGAAGATCTTCATCATCAGAGCTTATTTGTGTGATTAACTCTGTTAAAGCTTTGAAGCTGTTTTAAACTGAGCTCAGCTCTTTTGTGGTTATGAGGTCTCCACCATCTTCACACGTCTCTGAGTAGCTCTTGGTTCTGTTAACAGGGTGGAAAAAGTCAGAAACTGTACAGAAAATCTTAGTAAAATTATTTTTACTTTTGTACACCATGTACTTGTTACAACATATACAAAGTCTTTGAACCCCCCCCCCCTCTTTCCTGGGCATGCTGGGGTGGAGGATTCCCTTGGCTGGGGAGCTCTGTGTACTGACCAGTAGGGGGAAACTGAATGGCGTCCTCTCCATTGGTGCGCTGGAGAAGAGAGACCGAAGCAGGGTGTGCAGAGACCAAAAACCATGCTCTGCTTGACCTGACGGTGAACTCCATTCCAACTGGTTCTGATGCAGCATGTTCCACTGTGCTTCTTTATATAACATCATTGCTGTCAGAATTTCTCCATTTTTATAATTAATATTCTGAAAGTCTGTTGCTGTTATTAGTTGTGTGTGAATTTCATGAACAGAAATGATCCAAAATGACCTGCATAAAAGCTTTTTTTTTACATCAGGTTCCTTTTAAAAAACTTTTACGTCCTGAAGTTTGTGATGAGTGCTTTGAAGGTCTAAATTATTTTTTTTCCTTTTGGAGATATTATTGAGTAAAAGTGTCCAATTTCAAGAATATTACAGTGAAGTACAGATCTTCCAAAATAATGCCTGCTTATAGGAACAAAGTACACTTATTTGAGTATTTTCGTCTCTGTTTAAGTTAGACATTCTGAGCAGTATTTAACACTGTGTCTCCACTCTGTTCTTCAGAATGTTTTTTTATAGAAATTTAAATAATAATTGAGATTTACAGTCCTGTTATATGATGTGATTACTGTGTGTGTGTGTGTGTGTGTGTGTGTGTGTAGTCCTGCAGGCGAAGTTGGATCGAAAGACTGTGGGACAGAAAGTGGTGAAACTAACCTGTAGCCCCCCCTGCAGGCCCAGTGGAAACTGTTACTATGACTGGTACAGAGATGAAGGACGGCCTAGCCATAGAGAATACGTAGGATGTTCATATGGTGCCTCACTTTGGTTGGACTCCACCAGATCATCTAATCAGGACAGATACACCTGTGAGGTGAAGAACAACAGCCTCCCTCAGCAAAACTGTAAGTGTCAGTCAGTCTGTCTGTCTGTAAATAAAGTAATTTAAGAAGAAATTCAGAACCAGGAAATAACCTGCATTCAGTAGTAATTTCAGATATAAAATAGAACAAACTTCACTTTCAAAATAAGAGCTCTCTTTTGTTGTACAGTTTCAGTTCATATCTTATCAGCTTCACTGTAAATTGAGATGTTTGATCACCGAACAATAATTTGGAAGTGGCCTTTTCCAGGATGGACAAATCACAGAACTAATTCTAAGAAATGCTCATTATATTTAGGATGATAAGGATCAGCCTGCTAATAAACTCATACTTAAACATTTCAGATGCAAAATTTTATTTTATATAAATGTTTAAAATATGCTAAATATACACAGGAAACTTGTGCTCAGTGTAATTAAATGTATCATGTCTACCACTGTATGTACTCCAAACAGTCTCATGTACAGTACTGTGTAAAAGTGAGAGACCCCCTCTCATTTATTTAATTTTTAATCAAAACGGCCGTTAAGTAGAAGTTAGGCTGACTTTACACAGTGAAACTTAAAAGGAGCTTAATTACACTTGAGTTGCATAATGTAAATAGATCCGCAGCTCATTTAGATCTCAGGACGTTTCATAAAACAGCCAGTCAGAACGCTGATAGCACATCACGTGATCACATCAAACAGCATAATTTCAAGCAATTGATTTAATCAGATCAAAGTCTTAACATACACAGTAAATTTCACAGAGGAAAGTTCAAATATATAATGAAGAGCTGCAGAAAGATATAGATAAAAGTTTTTTTTGTATGTTAATGTTTGATGCTGTGCTCTGTGAGCTCCTGTAACCAAAACCAAATTCTTTGTATGTGTAAGCAAACCTGGCCAATGGCCAAGAAAGCACTGACTTGTAAACGGCGTTTTACAGATATTTAATTAAAAACACAAAGAAGAAATATTTTAATATTTGATTTTATAACTTTATTGATTTTTTTGTAAATATACATAAAATCCAAATTTGATGCCTGCAGCACATTCCAAAGAGTTAGGACAGGGTCAGTATGAGACTGGGAAGGTTCATAGAATGATTAAAAACACTGGTTTTGGAACTTTCCACAGGTAAACAGGTGAACAGGTGATGCTATTGTCGCCTGGCAAACAATTAGCCTACAGATAATCACTGACTCCACTACGCCACCTAGAGAATTGCACCCTAGGAATTAGTTTTGTGTTAAAGACCAACTACAAACTTCAGTGATTTTCACCACAGTTAAGTTTGTAAATGAGGACAGAGATGTAGTTCAGTTTAACTGGACAGTTTAATAGATTATTTAAACTCCATAAACAGAAAAACACATTTAAATTATTTATTAGTACAAACTTTTAACACAGCTGGACAGCAGATTTCCCCATAAGATTGGACAGTAAATGAATGACCGAGTGTCCTGGCTGTGACCAGACCACTGCAGTAAAAGCAGAATTTTAGGAAGGAATAAATAAGTAACCAGGCTTCCACCTCACTGTGGGGCTTTAAGAGGAGAGTCGCTTCACTGTCGGCAATCTGCAGGACAGCTGTCCAACCTCCAGCTTGTACTTAATGGCAGCTGTGAACTTAAATAAATGAGAGGGTCTCTGACTTTTGCACAGAGCTGTGTTTGTTTTATTTCAAGAGTATCACAGGTTTTAAAAGATTGTTAATATTATCACTGTTTTCAGTAAAAACACATCAAGATCAAAAGAAACGAGTTATACATTATAGTATCAATCAGTTCTGCTACATCAGTACAGGATGTTCTACAGTGTACAGGAGGCAAAGTAGCAGGAAGACAGAATTAATATGTTGAGTTACATAAAGAAGAAAGGAGCTCCAACACGTCAGTTTCTCAATATTGTGGTGGTTCTCTGCTCTGTGTGTTCTCTGCTTCATTTGCATATCTCCCATGAGTCTTTGCAGAGCTGCTGTGCTGTGTAAAACTGCCTGTTTCTCAGTAACTAAGGCTGTGTTCACATTACCAGCTGAAGAGGCACAAATCTGATTTTAGCCTTAATGTGTTAAAAATCTGATGTTTTTAAATCCGACCGGAGACTCTTTCATATGTGGATCAGATATGAATCTTAATGTGACGCTCAGGTCTGAATTCACCGCACTATCGTTCAGCGTTAATGTGGCAGCAGCGCCGACCCTGAAGTTAAAGCCAGTAAACGGGGGAAAAGCATCACGTCTCCCTTTTTACCTTCGTCTCGCTCCGATAACGAGCAGCTGAGAGCTGATCAGAGCTGATCAGAGCTGATTATATTCACAGCTAAAGTTCTAGTTTAGTTTAGTTTGTTTGCTGTTCATGATTGTGATTCACTCACATGACGTTATTGATTAGGGTGTGTGGGTCGTTTCAGGACACCAGTTCGTTCACGTTAATGACAGATTTGAGTCTCTTACCTAACGAGTGTGAACTGTCATGTTAGAGGGATCAGATCAGAGTCAATCTTCAGGGTTGATCAGAGAGGCTTGTAATGTAAATGTAGCCTATCTGTGTTTAGCACCTACGTTAGTCACTACTGAGTTGTATGTGTTATATTGGAATTAGCTGTTGGTCCTGGTTAAAAGTGTTAATGCTTCTGTGAATCTCAGTTTACTATTTCCCCGCTGTTCAGTCCGGCTGGTGGTTCTCTGGCCAACCAGAGCTCCAACGCTGGTACTGTAAGTGTGAGTGTGCTAATAAAAGAGCACTGCATATTTCCCAGAATGCTCCCTGGCCCCACCTCTTCCTGGGGGTCTTAACAATATGTACTTAATGTAGTACATCTTTCTTCCTCTCACTGTCTGTGTCTGTCTTTCACTGTCAGTGTCTCCCTGCTGTTTGTTACCTTCTTTTACTTCAACTACAGCTCTAGATGGACTTTAATGAGTGCCATTCTTTGGAAATGTTAGACTGCAGCATGACTGGGACTTAAAACAGTTATAAAGAGCTACATACATCATTCTTAAACCAGAGATTATTTCCATAATGTAATGTTGTTTAGTTTAGCTAAATAGTAATTAGTGAGAATATTACAGTACAGACTGATATTATTATATTATATAATTTCTTCTTCCTGACTGTGACTCTGTGTTCCAGGTGAAGAGCAGTGGGGTGTGACCTACACTGCTGAACATGTCTGTGCTCTGAAAGGATCATCAGTTAATTTGTCCTGCACTTATAAACACCCTGAAGGACTCAGAGTGACTAAATCACTCTGGTTCATTAAAAGTCACAGGAAGACTAATGTTGAGCCTGTGGATGTGGGAGAGTCTGATCTGTATAAGGGGAGAGTGCAGTACAGCCGGACCCTGAACTACTGTAGAATGACCATCACTGACCTGAGAGAGAGTGACGCTGACACATACAAGTTCAGATTCTACACTGGTGATCCTAAGGGCAAATACACCGGTGAACCTGGAGTCACTCTGTCTGTCACAGGTAACTCTGGATAATAAAGACCTGCATTCTGACTAATTCTGATATTCCAGTATCTGTAAGAGTGAATGAATGGATATTCAGTTAATCTCAGGGGGGGACAGGGACAAAAACCCCAACAGTGATTTCAGTGTTCAGATACCGACACCTGGAACAGTTAACCGAGTATCCATACACACCCCTACTAGATACATACAGTGAGTGTAGTTAACTGTAAGAGTATCTACAGATGAAGATAACACTAAACCTTGTTTAGAATCACCTGCAGATCTGAAGGTTACAGTGTCAGATACAGATGGAGGAGTAAAGAAGCTGACCTGTAGCTCCACCTGCACTCTGCCCAACCCCACTTACATCTGGTACAAGAACAGACAGCCTGTATTTAACCAGAACAGAAATGAACTGAATCTGAGAGACAGAACTGTGGATGCAGGCAGCTACTCCTGCGCTGTGAAAGGATACGAGGAGCTCCGCTCTCCTGCTGTCTGTAAGACCTCACTTTAAACTGTTATAGTTCAGTTTGTTCACTGCAGTTACTTTTACTACAGCTAAGTTTGTGTGTTTCAGGTGTTTTTGACCTGCAGGTGAAAGTGGACGGTCCTGCAGCCACAGCGTCAGAGGGACAGACAGTAACACTGACCTGTAGCTCCACCTGCACTCTGCCCAACCCCACTTACATCTGGTACAAGAACAGACAGCCTGTATCTTGGTGTGAATCTGCCTCCTGCTCTGTAGCTGTGGTCAGTGAAGCGGTCAGCTACAGCTGTGCTGTTAAAGGCAGTGATCTCCACTCTCCTCCAGTGTGTGAGTCCAGATTATCACATACACTAATAATCTGTTTAATAATCTAAAGCAGTGTTTCTCAACTCTGGTGCTGTTGATGTTTCTCCTTCATGTGATTCAATTAATCATCTCGTTAACCAGTGGAATGATTGACCCTTGTTCATCAAAGTTGTGTGTGGTAAAATCTAACCATAAAATCAGTGCACACAAATTTCACAGAGAATTTTGTTATTCATTAATTACAATGCCTGATTGGTGGTTAACTAACCATTATCAATATCACCTATAATACCAATAATAAGAATAAAAATAGAAAATAACAATAATACTAGTAATTTGTAAACATAGCAATCCAGTACTAAACACAGCTACTGTAGAAGCATTTCATGCATGGCAATAATACAGTGTTTAAATGTTAATTTAGGAAAATAATCACTCAACACAAACATAAAATCACTGTTCATTCTTTGCAGTGGTCGTAATTTAAACACAATACAGTTTGGTCAGTAGGGGGAGCAGTGCAATCACCACTCCACCTCAACCTCCGCCTATGAGCACAGCCATTGGCTCATGTGCTGCTAAATGCTGTCGTTTTATTGTACTGAAACATCTGCATAAAGTAGGTCATGCTTCCTGTAAATCATACTGTGTTGTCTGCATAGAAGAAGAATGCTCTGTTATTTTGAACAGGCACTTCAACAGGCAGCAAGAAATGCCCAGCCCAGCGCTATCCCAGCACAAAACACAGGTGGGGGTAATGGGGGAGGAGCCAACAGATAAGGAGAGTAAATACTTCCAACGGTTAGTTAGGCTACAAGGTCCACCCTCTTCAGACTCTAAGTAACACAACAACACTATTATCAGTGCACCTTCCGCAACAATAGCAGCTAAAACAGAAGAATCACTGTCTTTTCTTTACTGGGAGCATGGCACCTCCCAAGAGCCACTTTGCATGGCCACACAACATAAGTCCCTGGGCAGCGCAGAGTCCTGGCCTGTCTACTGTCCTGGTCAGCACAAGTGCTGTGGGGTGCCCATTCCTCAGCAGCGAGCACCCCTGGTTTCTCTCAGGGCCAAGTTGGGAATGATCACAGGTATTAAATCAGTAGAGGTGCTGTGGAAGAGAGGAACTGACACAGTGTGGACAGAACAAGGCAGCAGAGTCCAGTATTAGACTGGGCCACTGTTTTAGAGTGAGGAATAACAGAACTGCCCTCCCAGCTGGCAGAACCTCCCGTCTGGATGTGTTATGTAAGAGCAGTTTGTTCTGTATGATCTGTTTGTCTCTGAGTGTAAGAAGTTCAGTAACTAGTCGAGTCTCTGTCCTGTTCAGACTCTCCCAGACCTCCATCTGTATCTGAGATTGAGTTTAACGGCTCAGTCAGGCTGGTCTGTGTCAGTGACTCCAACCCTGCCAGCTCTTACACCTGGTTCAGGAAGATAGGAGGAGACATCACACAGTTTGGAGAAGGAGCCAATTTAACTTTAGCTGCAGGAACAGATGGAGTTTTCTACTGTATGGCAGAGAATCAATTAGGATCATCCAACTCATCAGAAAGGACTTTTACATCAGGTATGTTATGGGCTGATTCAGTCACCTTCTTTCCTACACAGAGATCAGTATGAAAAAGATGGATTCATGCTAGTTTTAGGTCTCAGTGCAGCACTTTAGGTCCTCATCCTGGTCTCTGTTACAAGAGTCATGTGACTGTGTACATCTTTGTAACAGCAGGAGTGGAAAATAAACAGGTAACTGTATATCAGTACTACAGTAATGTGGAGACTGAGCTCTGTGCTGTGTGTTCAGTTCATTTGTGTTTGTTTCTCCCTGTAATGTGTGAAAAAGTGCTCATCCAGCCTTGATTAATCAGTGTTAGCACTTATCATGTACATAACAAAGCTGTTTGTCACTGAGTGCCAGTGAGTTCAGAGATGGTTACAGTACTGTGTATGGAGTACGTAGCCGTCTAAACACAACTTCTATTTTAGAGAGAGGTGGTCCTTTCGTTAGCCACCAGATGCAGAGAGCTACATGCTGTGTAGCCCAAATAAAGGACATTTCCATTCTGTGGACATTAACCGTCTCTGCCTGGTGACGGTTAGCCAGGTTACCATGATAACAGCCCCCAGTGTTTACTGTTGGTTTATAAATCCGTTGTTCAGTTAATGATATATTTCAAACCACAGCTAGAACCCAGTGTTCCCACTTAACTTTCAAATGTTACGTGATGTGATATCCCAGTGTGGGCGATATGGCAGAAAAAAGTATCTCAATATTTCAGAAAGTTTCAGTGATGAACAATGTACTGTTCTCCTCCTGTGTATATATGTACACAATTCAACAGCAAGCCAAACTCCATTCAGACGAGTACATGGGAGTCAGATAGAGCCTCCAAGCTCCAGGGCTTTACTGAGCTGCACATTGATGCACTGAGTGAATAGGAGTGAAACTATAGGGAAAAATAGGAATAACAATATACAGAGTGAGTAATGCTCTTAGAGCTGTAGCATGTTCAGTAATGTACAGCAGTACAGGGTGACTGGAGAAGACACCAGATTAACTTTACACAGCCAAACGTGGCAGCTGGAGGAGCAGACTGAGCTGTTTGCTGCTTTGCCCTAGCAAGGGAAAGACAAAGGCTGCCAAACTAGACGTCCTCAGCAGGGGGTGCTATTTAACATAACAAGGACAGAACAAACGATAAGTCACGATATTCGCTTTTTCCGCCATCTATTGGAGCAGACAGGAAGTGATCAGCAGTGCCACATTTAAAATATTATTAAAAACAGTGCAGATTAGTTTATTCAGCGTTTCACACTGAACTGCACTTCACACAGTTAAACATGACTGACTCGCTCTCTTTGCAGAGAAACATGCATGAAAATACTGATGTAATGTGACACATTGTGGCGTTATTGATTGTGATAAAGATAAATATTGTCATATTGCCCAGCCCTGGTGATATTCTACATCAGTGGTCCTCAGACCGGTCCTCAGGAACCTCTAGACGGTCCTCAGTTTTTGCTCTATCCTTGTGTGTCTGGGGGTCCCTGAGGACTGATTTGGAATCCACTGTCCTACATTAATACTACATTTAGGTTTCATGACTTCAGATTTTTTAAAGGTGACAGTTCTGTCCTGAGAGTCGAAGTCGACAAATCGCTGATGATGTCATGAATAAAACCAAAAGGAGAAGGGATGCTTTGCAGTTAATCACTTAAAAAATCTGACTTTAAAAATCCATAACAAACCCTGGATTGCTTCGCTAGCCTTCAGGAAACCAGAGATACGGACCCGGAAACCACAGCCTCCTCAACATCTTCTCTGAAGTGTCCATGTTGTTAGAGTCATAATGACGTGATCAGCGACTCGTTGACATCAAGATTAAGGCGACATCATCGAGCAGTAAAGTCGATCAGTTGACCAGTCTGTGTCCTCTTGTGAGTTACGGTTAAAGGTTTTTCCTGTTTATTCTCTGGATCAGCTCTTCAGCTTCTTTACCTCATAACATCAAACAGCCAGGATTCTTTTTTGTTGTTTATTGTTGTTGTTGTTTCTTTAACTGTGAACTGTGCAGCTCACCGTGGTTGTATTTTATCTGTCAGGATGTTTTATAAACTAACGCTGTACAAACTGTGGCTCTGTGAGAGCTGCTGTCATCGACCAGTGGTGTGTCAACAACAAGTGTGGGGTCAATTGAATACTATCTATTCTAAAATCACAACATTTACTGAACTGTGTTTTTATTATGTTCTTGTATTTCACAAAGATTAAAGCTTGAACTCACACTGTTTGCTCCCTCGTCAGAGTTAAGAACTGTCCTAAAATTACTAGACGAAACAGCGTGTGCTCTTACATTTTTTTGTTGCTATTGTTATCGTTGCTCTGCAAAATAACCTTTGTAAATCTCTGTAAAGCTGAGGCAAAGATAAAAAAAATACCCCCAAACTTCTTTACTTTCATTGTAGTATATGATAAACTTACTTCTGTACTTTCAAGTATATTTTTAGTTTTCACTCACATATTTGACTCTTCTGTACTTTTTCCTCTCCTCCATCTCTGCACTAATACAGATAACAGGACTTCAGTATATGCAGCTTCTGGAGTCGCCGTGGTTTTACTTCTGATATTCACTGCAGTCTTTTTGTGGATGAGGTGAGAATCTGAACACATGTAAGATATGAAACATCCTCCAAATGCTGCCTGTAAGCTGTGCTGCAGTTTAGCTTCTTCACTCTAATATAAGCAGTTTAATACAGTAGAGAGTAAAATAGACGGTGTGCAGTTTCAGAACATTAACAGGGGTTGATTTAATGCTGGAGATCTGAAGGTTGTTTTCCTGTGAAAACTCCAACAGGAGACGAGCAGCAGTGACCAGCAGAGAGAGAGAGGAGAGCAGTGGAGAGGTGAGTTTTAATGAGGGAGTCATTTGGATCCAGTTAACTGGCAATGATTTCCATAACTGGTTAATCTATTAATTGGAAAAAGAAACATGCAGCCAGTAATTTATCAGTAACTAAATATTTCATCATACACAGCGACTGTTATTCATCAGGCTGAGTCAAATCTGACCGAAAACCAGCAGACGCACATTTCACTGGCAGTTTGTGTTTCATCAGTTTCATCTTTGGTGTATCTGTATGATCAAACTCACGTCTGGTCGGAGTGTGAATATGAACATAAATGTTTAACAGCCTAAAAAAAATGCTAGATATGTAGTTAAATAACCAAAACTACTATCAAAATCATCCACAATACAAATAATTAGAAAGAAAATAGGAAATAATAGTAAAATCAGTAATTTGAGCGCATGGCTATCCAGTACAAAAGTGGGTGTTCTTATTTTACATACTCACTGATATAAACAAGTGCTGCAACTATTCCATCTAAGGACACATTACACTGATTTTGTTTTATACTACTGACTCCGCCCACAAAATAACACAACACACAGCTGGTGTCATAGGCTGCAGTAATACAGTGTTTATTTTAGTGAAATAACACATTCAATCACAATCACATCCTTCTATCGTCTTAGAATAAACTGCCATTTTGTTTACTTCACATTTTATTCTCTTCAGTGGTTGTAATTAAATAATAAACTATGAAGTTTGGCCTGTAGGGGGAGCTGTGCACTCACTGCTCCGCCTCAAACTCCGTCTATGATCACAGTCATTGGCTAATTAGCTGCTGAGTGCTGCCGTTTTATTACCTACCGAAACATCTGCATGAATTAGGGTGTGCTTCATGTAAATGATATGTAAATTAGGTGCTGATAGGCTGGTGCTTGATTTGATGCACTGAGGCTGATTCATCATCTGCACTGCAATCTCCACTCGTTTCCACGTCGTGTGAAAGTTTCATGAATCAGACACAGAGCAGTTCAACATCATTAAATCAGTCAAAGCTGCACTGTTTTTAATGCAGCTGTAATGAATAAAGGGCCATTGTTAATTTCAGCACTTTAAACATACAGAGATTATTCCTCATTTTGAAAACGCTGCCTGATCTTCTACATCATACTTTTATTTAGCTCAGTAGTGCCACAAGATGTCCTCTGCACTGCCCTCAGTAACACTGTTTTACTCTGAGTGAAAGAAGCAATAAAAGAACAACACATGAACATGGCAGCTCTAGAGCTCTTATGGAGGTAGTTAGAGTTCAGAGATTCACATTGATATTCAAATTATTTCTGTTCTGATGATGAAGGCAAAATTAAACTCATTAGTTTGTGTGGTTGGTAACATTATATAATCAAACCTGATATTACTGAGCACACAGAAGCAGGCGGTTATCAGCCGTGTCAGAACGCAGGGCTATATTTCTGACTGGAGATCCTGTACTAAAGTCTCCATCTTCTGTTTTCCCTCTTTTATTTTAGTGATGTAAACGAGGAGCGCAAACATCATCAAGCCATCTAATTAGGAACCAGATTCATTAACAACTATTTTTATTATAGACGTTATCTATACTGATATCAGTGCATGACGTCACTGTTTGTCACATACAGGCTGCTTAAAATTTCAGCACCAGAGCTTAAAACTCTTCCCGTATCCCTGAATGAGCATCTCTGACTGATCCTTATGAACTGAAGCTGTTTCTCCTCGTCTCTCTAAAAGGCTCCAAAGTCTGGAGACGACACTTACTCAGCTCTGAACCCCAACACCACGTCCTCCGACTACGACACTCTGACTGTAAGTCTGGAGTGTTTGTGTGACTGAGTATTATTGTGGTTAATGTATTTAATTCATACGTATTTTTAATATTCTTTTATTCTACAGCATGTTAGAGACTCTCCCAGTGACACATACTCAGCTCTGAACCCCAAAACCATGACCTCTGATTACGACACTCTCACAGTAAGTCTGGTGTGTTGAACATTATTGTGGTTATTAGTGTGTTTAGTTTTATGATTATTTTACAGCGTGTTACACGTCAGGACTCAATATAGGGTTCAGCCTTAAAGACACTCCAGCAGCAAATAACTGAATGACACAGACATCATTCCAGTGTTCAACAGTGCAGCATGAGGTAAAGAGTAATATTTAATATTCATAACTCAAAGTGAAGTTAAAACCCAGAGAAATGGCCGCCATGTAGAGATGAAAGCAGCAGTCACTGTAGTGTTGGAGATTTTCTCCACTTGGTTCTCCTGATCTAGAACAGCAGGAGAGAGTTTATTTCAGCATACAGGAGCCTGTACTGTACGAGTTTGAGCCTGTGGAGCACCGAGTTCAGGAGAGAGTTTGGCTGCTAATGAATCATCAACTCTTCAGTTTTGTTTCAGCTGTTAAACAAGTATAAATCTGAACAGATGTGCCAGTTGTTTATCGTTACATAGCAGAGTTTAATGCAGAAACCATTCATTTTAGTAGTGTTGCATTGTCAGATTAGCCTATTACTAATTTCTGCTAGTTTCCCTTTGGGGGTTTGTAGTGTTGTTGGTGCCAATCTAGCAGTGTTGTATAATCACATCTGATGCCAATTCTAGCTTAAACACTGGCGCATGAAGCTTGAAACAGGCTTAAAATACCAATTATAGCATTTTCTTATTGAGTTCTGTTCTCAAACATACATGTTGCTGAGCTGCTGAGCTCTAATTTCCAAATGAAATGCATCCGATTCTGCCACCAGTCAGCATCAGAGCTGATATTTTGAAGAAGTCCTGCCAATCAGCAGTCACTGATATGATTTACATATGAGAACATGATCATTTGTGGGTGGAGAGTAAAAAATAAAGCTCATTTCAAATAAAACAGTACAAAGGGCCAATCAGAGACCCTGAACTCTTCACAAATCCACTGTTTGCTGCTAAAAGGTACGAGACGAAATACAGTGTGGCTAATAACGTTAGCTGAGGTGAAAACAGATGAGTAACGTTTGTCTGTTAATACTAATAAAACTTTTCAAGAACCCAAAGACACAATTTTAATAACACAGACAACAGTAAACAAACACTACAGTACAGAAGAACACAGCAGTGAAGAAGACGAGGTGGAGATGTAATGAGAAGGTCGGATTAGATCAGTGGTGTGTTGTAGGTCAGAGAGAAGAGACGGGTTTAGAGATTTGATCTGAATATATAAAGAGAATTAGACGGCTGGACTCGTGGAGGAAGAGAGTTCCAGAGACGAGGAGCAGAACTAGGGAGTGTTGGAAGCTGTGAAGGTTGGATGGAGGAATGTTCAGTAAATCAGCTGAAGAAGAGCAGAGAGAACAGCTGGGTTTACAGTGAAGGAGGAGATCAGACAGTAAGAAGGAGGGAGGTCGGTCAGAGCTTTGAAGTGAAGGCGGTGCTTTACAGGAAGCCAGTGGAGATCATGGAGAACAGCTGTAATGTGGTTATGAGAGCGAGGATGAGTGAAAGACGAGAGTTCTTGTGAAGGGAAGAAGAGCTGATTCTGCAGGTAGAGAGTTACAGTAGTCTGAACCACTGAAGATGAAATCATGTAGAAAAGACATTAGAATTTTATTAGAAACTGAAGATCAGATTTGACTGAAATGCCCGTCACTGATTCTGACAGTCAGCCTGCAGAGAGTGTTCAGTTCTGTACGCTTCTGTTTTCATCCTCAGCCTGTTAGAGACTCTCCCAGTGACACGTACTCAGCCCTGAACCCTGAAACCAGGACGTCTGATTACGACACTCTGACTGTAAGTCTGCACTCTGTACCTTCATTCTCTGGTTGAGCTTCATAACAGTTCCTAAGGTCTCCTGTTTTTCAGGTTCTCCGTCCTCACCCAGTGATGAGAAGAGCTCCAGAGAACGAGAACTAACAGCTGTGTTCATTTACTCTTCATTCACCACTGTAGCTTCAGCTCTATGGACAGAACATTAAAGAGGCGTACGGAGGATTTCTGAGGATTAAAGAGCTTTTAGAGCTCAAAACACATCAGATGATTCCTAAAGTCAGAGTGATTCTCTCAGATCAGTCAGAGGAGCTTCTGTTTATGAAGGGTCTTTATTCACTGTTGTGCTTTTATACACCATGATGATTCAGACACGGACTAGAATCAGACAGCTCTGATCACTCAGTATGAACAGAGTTAAGATGATTTGAATCCTGTTTGTCTAAAAATGTCACTGTGTACAGTTAGATTTATTAATATAATTTTTCTAAGTTTGCATATTTTAAATAACATTTTTTGTAGTTTTATTCATGTGTCTTTTCATTGTTGTAGATACAGTTGATATAAAAATCTACACACCCCTGTTAAAATGCCAGGTTTTTGTCATGTAAAAAAAAAAAAAACAGACCAAGACGAATCATTTCCGATTAATTTCCGCCTTGAATGTGACCCATAATCTGCACAGTTCCACTGAAGAACAAACTGAAATCATTTAGAAGGGGAAAATAAAAATAACAAAACTAAAATAATGTGGTTGCATAAGTGTGAACACCCTCTTAAAATTGGGGATGTGGTTGTGTTCAGAATTAGCCAATCACATTTAAATTCATGTTAAATAGTAGTCAGTACACAGCTGCCATCATTTAAAGTGGTTCTGATTAACCCCATATAAAGCTCAGCTGTTCTAATAGGATTTTTCTGACATTGTCTTAGTTGCATTTTACATATGTACTTCTAAACACAGACTATTAATAAAGTTTTGAAGCAGGTTTTGTTTTCCTGTTTAATGAACAGTGAACAGGTGAGAGATTCCTGGATGGATCTGCTGGCTGTTTTCATCACTGCTTTCCTTCAGCTTCCTTATTTCAATTCTTCCAGTTCCAGTAAAGCTAGCTGTGAGTAACTGGTGGTGATGGAAACATCTTAACTCTGAAATCTGATCTGTTTAGTCTCCATGACGACTTCAGTATGGACTGAATTATCGAACTTTAGGATGAACCCCAACAGGGTCCTCACTTCTGTTTAAGGTCCGTTTCTATGGTTTTTAGGCAGCTGAGTCAGCAGCATAGTTCACTACCAGCATAATGAGCTCCATTTATTTCTACTGTAAAACGCTGCTTTCACTGTGAGATGATTTTCTTTTCTAACTCTGTGTTTTAAAGATCTCAGACGCTGCAGACTCGATCTCCACCGCCCCTCTGATCACCTTCGTGTGTTAATGTTGATGATGAAATATTACAGTGATGGTGGTGAATAATGAGGAGACGGAGCTGAACGTGTGTCTGTTTATTAGGAGGAGTAACGTTAGCGGGCTCAGCTAAAGCGTTTGGGAAATGGAGACTGAAACTGGGGAGCGGCGACGCTCTGATAAACAGCAGGGGGCGCTCTCACAGTATTCACCACTTACAGTTTATCACTCTTTAGTTTTGTTTGACCTTTTTTCATCAGCATTTCATTCTTTTTAGTTGTGTTAATCTGAACCGGATAAAGCAGTTTGAGCTCCTTCCAGTAGGGGGCGCAGTGCACCACCTGTTCCCCCCAAACTCCTCCTGTGTGGAAGACCAGCTGAAGTGTAGGTCACTGTTCTCAGCCACTCTTCCTGTAACTGCAGTGACCCTCACTGTCTCAGCCTCTCATCACTGGATACTGTCAGTTATTCAGTCTCTCTCTCTGTCAGTCAGTAATTAAAGAGACTGTCAGCTCCGTTACAGACACTCAACATCAGAAATGATCCTACAGATTTAGGACTTGATGATCTTTAACCAGAGAGAGATTTAAAACTGAGTTTAATCCACAATTCAAATGGAGTTAAAAGCTAGAAAAGCTCATCTTTCCTGCCTGATCAGGACTGTGTGGGCGTGTCTGACCTCACGCTGATTGACAGCAGCATAAAGCAGCATAAACAACCAACAGCAGCAGCAGATTTTTACACTTTTACAGCTTTTATTTTCTGGACTTTTAAAAATCTGTCCTAATTCTGATTGGTACGAGGAGAAACTGGACGTCAGCCTCTTCAACATACTGCCCACCTCAAAGCCAACAGAGGAAACACAACAGTGCAGGAATCTGTCAATCAAAATGTCCAACATTGTTCTTTATTTGACAGTTAATAGTGAATTCATGCAGGAGCCGATCAGAGCTAGAAGCACCAACAGATAGCCCCGCCCCTTACCAGTTCTCCCCCTTTAGCCCTGCCCCCTCATCAGTTTTTCCCCTTTAGACCCGCCTCTGCATCAGTTTCCCTGTTTAACTTCAGCCTCATGTTGTTAACAGTAACTTGTAACTTCAAAATGACCTGAATGTGAGCTGGTTGAACGTTATGCTGCCATGTTATCTCCCTTTTTTAGGGGTGCAGATGCCCCCCAGCAGCGGGAGAAAGGCTGTTAGGGTCTCAGTCAACGCTGAATCCATGCCATGATTAAATAGAGGCTAATTAAATTCTCTGGTTAAATTAAATCAGAGGACGTCACAGTTCATACTTTAAGAAGGTATTTAGAGCAAAATCATCTTAGCATTTACTACATATTGATCACTTTTACCTTCATTTCTCCAGAGAATTAGTTTAGCCACTTTTTAATCACAGTGTGGATTCAGCTGTTGATCGATACTCAGCTGTTAGCTTTTTGCTAGCTAGCTTTTATTCAAGTGGCTAACAGGCTTTAACTACACATGGCGGGAGCTAAACGCAGGAAAGTCAGTAGGTGTGTCTGAAACTGTAGCTTATTCACTATGTACTGTTTTGAGGTTCCACCATTTTGTAGCGGTGTCTGAAACGATAGTGTGGAAGATCCAGTGCGCTCCAACACTCCCACAATGCACTGCAATGAGTAGTGTACAACTGATGTACCCTAGCGGATATGGGATACCCATAATGCACTGTGTTGGTTGGTATGAAGATTTATAAGCAGCTTCTCTGAGTAGGATCAGTGCGCTCAGCTACATTGGCGGTGTCTCCACAGAGCTCTCTGCAGACCTGTTACAGCGTGAATAAGCTCTTCTGATGGGTGTGGTCAGACTCGGCGGTTATACTGGACTGGTGGAATGACGTTTGTAGTGTTTATGTGACGGAATCTGCTGTCGCACAGAAACGAGCAAACCTGTACGTCAGTGTTCAAAATTGTTTACCCCCATCACCAATTTTGTTCCCTTTAACAGTGTTTTATGTAGTGATCCAGGTCTCCTGTGGGGTTTAGTGATTAGGGGACCAGGATTAGGGGATTAGGGAAATTTATTGTTATAACAATAAATTTGTAGCTGACTTAGATGCAGAATATTTAATGTCAGGTAGCTAACGTTAATGTAACCTTAGCAAGCTAAACTAGATAACAAAATCAGCTACGTTAGCACGTTTCGCTACGTTCTCATTGCTCACTACATTATTGAGTAAACTGTCAAATCAAAACAACGACTGTTATTTAAAAATAAAGACTAACCGTCTTACCCTCCACATCGCCTCCAGTAAGTGTCGGGAAAGCTGCTCCTTTCAAATCCTGGCAAATCCAGAGCTGCACTGAGCCCAGTTTTCAAATGAGTCGGCAATAAAATGCTTGTTGCGAACTCTTGTACTGGGTGTCACTTCAAACCCCAGTAAGAAATCGGAGCCATTTTGATTTGGTCTCGATATTTGGAAGGGAATTTGGAGAGTGACCAAACCGAGCATTTGTAAACGAGTGCCATCTCCTAGCAGCTTTAACGTTACTCCAGTAGAGCGATGTCAGTGTTATCTGCGTCATCTAAGATTATGCCAAATAAAGTGCAATTCCTAAACAGTGGTTAGGGGGCAGTATACACAAAAAAAATTAAAATTTAAATGTCATTTTATGCACTCCAACAAAAGTTGGACTGAAACAGAAGTATGAAGATAATCACACACTTCCAGCTAATGTAACATTGTGAGTAAGGAGGAAAAATACTGTGTTGGGCCTTTAAATGAAGCCAAGGACAATGTAATTACTCTCAGATGAGTCCATTTTAAATCATTGTTTATTATGCAAAACTACTAGCATGGTTATATTACACTCAGAAACATCTGTGAGAATTGAGGAACCACACATTTATTTAAATTGGAAAAAGTTTGTTGAACCTGTCAGCATTAATAAAAAAAAGTGTTTGTAATCTTTTTCCTTGAATGACAAACTTCCCTTTTCAGGAATGTGCTGTACAGTGTTGTTGTTTATTAACATGTTTTTGGAAGTGATTAACTTGATCTTCAGGCTGCCAGAGGACTTTTTACCATTAATGATAAAATCTTTAGACAGTCATTTATTCGTTTTTAATGTTACATGTGCATTTCAGACATAATCACTTTACAGTCTACATTGGTAATATTTACGAATCTGCCACATTGATGATTATCTGGTACAGAGTAATAAAGACTCAGAGCTGCTGCAACTAACTGGACTAATTTAGTGACTGTTTCCTTCTTAGGTCACTTCACTTCTTGTGGAGACGAGAATCAGATACAAAACCTCCCTCAGCACCTTCAGACCTTCACACCTGCACGCCAGCTCAGGTCTTCACTTCTGGACTCTCATGTTCTTCCCTGAGATCTGATCATTCTCATAAGGTAAGATCTTACAGTTTTAGTGTTCTTTAGCGCCCCTCAATGGTGGAACTCTACACTGCACAGTGCTCTTCAGGTAAAACCTTGGGTAACATCTCTCTGCCCTCATTCACTCTCCGCTTCTTCACCCAGCACACTTCTTATGGTGCAGTTAATATTTGAGTTTTTAACTTTTTACTCTGAAATGGATGATGTAAATTAAGACGTCTTCAGTTTCTGCTAAAAGGTCACTGCAGCCTCTCTGTGTTTGTGAAGTGTTGGTCATGTGACTGAGTGTAAAGTAGAACACAGTTATTCTAAATGCTGATTGTGTTAACACTAAACTTTCACGAGTTTCTCTTCTCTCACCACTTTTCATGACTATTTTTAGTGAAAAAAAACAAATTTCTGCCACATTTATACAGTGAATTGTCTTTGACCTTTGACCTTTGCATTCACTTTATAATAAACAAATAAATGCTTTAATTTCCTTCTTTAAAAATAATAGGACAATTTAAGAGCTGGAAACTTGTCTGTTTTTTCTTAGTTTAGATTTGACCTACATTAGGGTCTGTTACGATCCTGGGGGTGTATGGTGTTTGTTTTGTGC